GGATACACCACGGGTAGCTTGCCAGGCTCTGCCTTTTGGATGGGATACTCTCAGTAGCTTGCCAACCTCTCTGATATATAGATATAGATATAGAAATAGATATATAGATATTACTGTAGCACTGTCCTCCTGCTGTTCATCAATTTGTTCGAGTGGGCCCAGTAACGTCTCCATTGTGAGACTTGTTTTTACTGTGTTTGGCATATTGAATACATCACGGGTAGCTTGCAGGCTTTGTCATGCGAGCAAGATATTCTTGGTAGCTTCCCGGGCTCTCCAAGAGGGGCAGAGGAATCGAACCTGGGTCGGCTGCACCAGCCGTATGCAAGGCAAAAACCCTACCACTGTGCTATTGCTCCAACCAGAGAGTAATCACGATCGTGATCATCCTGTTGTTTGTCGATTGCCTCGAGCAGGCCCCAGTAACGTCTCCTTCCTCCTAGCCCTGAGATTTTAAAAAGTGCCATATTTAAGGCTCTTTCAGGGTTAGGAGAATGAGACCCATCATTGTTACTGGTATTTGGCATATTGGGTCCCAGAGGGTAATATATATACATATATACTTGGTGGTGTCGGTGTCCTTGTCAACACAAACTTGGCCATAAACATTGATTCATTCAAATGCCTAACAACCTGAATTGGATGATTACACTCGAATAGATGTGGCTCACTGCCGGGAGTTTCTATCTTTGTTGTCTACGAAACAAAATCAAATTATGATGAAGGAGAAATTTAGAAGTTCTACATGGAATTGGAAAAATTCTATAAAGAAGACCACACCTTCTACAAGATCATTGTCGGTGATTTTAATGCCAAGATAGGACCGAGAATATCAGCCAAAGAACTCCAAATCAGGACCCATGGCCTAGAATGAAATGAATAGAGTGAGAAACTGTCCGAGTGCATCGTGTCAACCAAGAGCATCCATGGTAACTAAAAATTCCAGAAGACCAAATCTAAATGTTGGACATGGGAGTCTTCTGATGGATGGCTCCACAACGAAATTGACCAAATCATGTTCCATAGACGGTCTTGCCTGACCCATGTCACTGTTGTCCCAAAATTCCAAACGGGATCAGACCACTGTCTTCTTCATGCAAAATTCTATTTCACAGAGTGGGGAGAAAGGGCTGAAAAGTTTAAGAGAACTCCCAAAACGACCACCAACTGGGAGCTATTTGGCACTATTGCTGCAATATGGGAAGATGCCGCCATTGACAACATTGACGAGGAATACGATGGACTGGTTCAGCACCTCCATGATTGTGCAAAGAACGCCGAGAGAGAGAGAGAGCTACAAAAAAATGCCTGTCTTCGAAAACTCTTGAGCTTATTTGCCAACGTGGTTTGGCACATGCCTCAGGCAACCGCGAGCAAATGTCCCAGCTTGCAAAGCAGTGCAGAGAAGTGATCAAGGAAGACCTCAAAGAGAGAAGAGCAGCAGTGCTGGCAGATGTGGCAGAATCTGTGAAAAACTTTCACAACGCCCGCCTGTCCTTCACCAACTACAAGACCAAGATGACTGCCCTCCAACGTCCTGATGGATCTATCACATCTTCCAGAAGGGCAATGAAGAAAATTATCCATGACTTCTACTCAGATCTCTTTGATAGTCACGTCCACGTGCCCACATACCAAATTCAGCAGGATGGATATGTTGTTTCCAAAGTTCTCCCTTCAGAAATCCGACACGCCATTTCATCGGTAAAGAAGCTAACAGCACCCAACCCAGACAAGGTCAGACCTGAACACCTGAAGAACCTGCCATCAATACTCATCGATATACTGGCTCAGGTCTTTACACGCTACCTGTCTGAATGCAAGATCCCGTCCCACTGGAAAACCAGCAGGACTGTACTACTGTGCAAGAAGAGAGACATCCACGACACTGGCAACTATCGTCTGATTTGCCTGTTGTCTGTCGTCTACAACTGTCTATTGTCTGTTCACTCAAGTCATCCTGAATAGGATTGACAGAACACTATATCAAGGACAACCATGTGAGCAAGCTGGTTTCTGAAAAGGATTTAGCACCATCGACCATATCCACATGATAACCAAGCTCATTGAGGTTTCTCGGAAGTTTAAGATGCTGCTTTGTCTAACGTTCATTGATTTAAAGAAGGCCTTTGATTCTGTTGAGACTGAGGCGGTCACTAAGGCCCTAGTGAAACAGGGCGTTCAATGTCAATACATCAGGATTCTCCAGGAGCTGTGTTGCGGATTCACTACCAGGATCTCACCATTCTACAGGGAGGTGGTCATTGATGTCAAGAGAGGGGGTTTGGCAGAATGATACCATTTCACCAAAACTCTTCAGTGCCACTCTCGAGAACGTCAAGCGATGACTGGAATGGGAAGGAATGGGAGTGAAGATAGATGGTCAGTCAGCAACTACACCACCTCCACTTCGCTGATGACATTGTTCTTATAACACCAAACATCAGCCAAGTGGCACAAATGCTGGCCAACTTTGACTGTGAGTGTGGAAAGGTCAGACTCCAGCTGAATCTCACAAAGACTATGTTTATGAGAAACGGAATGTTTCTGACGTTCCATTCACTCTCAAAGGACGAACATCTCCAAATGCAACAGTTATGTGTACCTGGGTCGAGAAGTCAACATGACGAATGACCAGGCAACTGAGCGGCTTGGAACTCCTTCAAGAGCATCAAAGAAATCGATAAGAGGAGGAAGAAACTCCGGCTCTGGGCACATCTCTTCCACTGTTCTTCCTGCATTAGCATATGCCTCAGAGACCTGGGCCCTACGAAAACAGGATGAGAATGCTATTCGGGTCTTCCAAAGAGGAATCAAAAGAGCTATGTTTGGACTATTTCGCTTCACTCAAGTGAAAGAATAAATCCAGAGTTCTGACCTCTGTTGACAATCAAGAATCAGGACACTGTCTCGTTTGCCAAGGTGTCAAAATTCAAAATTGGGCTGGATACATAATGAGATTTGGAGACGACCACTGGACTAGAGCCATTACCATCTGGTTTCCATGGGATGTCAAAAGATTGTGTGGCCGCCCACCTATGAGATAGTCAGACTTCTTTGTTAAGACCCTGACAGATCGATCAGTTTGATGCTCTTTGTGTTCCTAGAATGAGCAAATGCCATTGGGCTACACTAGCATGTGACAGGGACAAATGGAGATGTTACTGGTGCCCGCTCGAGCAAATCGATGAGTAACGGGATGTCAAGTGATCAAGTGATCAAGTGATATTTTTCTCTATGAGTTGTTGCCTACTGTCTGAACCCCATCAAATATGGTGTGGTAATGATGGAAAATGGGTACGGAGGGTCTTATGATGTGTCGCATTATAATCGAGGAGCAAATCCTTTTTTAAAATATGCCCAGACCCATGAGTGGAGAGCATTTCCATATATCTTGAGCTTCCTATGGTCTGTTGACAACTCTTAAGCCCCTTTCTTATTTACTTCTGAAGATTCATATAATTGTACATAGTATCTGCAAAGGTTTTCTGAACAATAATACATTCAAAACACAGTGGCTTAGAGCAACTATTATTTTTAAGGATTCTAGTCATTCTAATGATATGGATTGGACTGTATTAATCTTGATTTAACTTAGTAAGCAACCAAATACCTAGAGGATCTTCTGGAGAGCTAGTGATCTAGTATGTTCTGAACTTGGATGATCAATCTTTCTTTGATATGATTTTCATCACTTTCCATTAGGGTAGATAGTGAATACTACCATTATGCTGACAAAAGCCATAGGGAGAGGAGGCAGAAATCTTTCTGAAATGTCTGCTTATACCAGATTTCAAAAAATTTTTGTTAGTTATATTTTAAGTAAATATTTTTGCAAAGAAATAACCAAATCCTATAAGAAAAGGGAACAGATGCAGGGAGAGTTTAGGAACTGGCCAACAATGCAATTAAGTTTTCATAGAAATAGATTGCCTTAGCTTTCTTCTTTCATTGGCATTCTTACTGTACTTTGCAATAAAAGCTATAGAGTCCTTGGTTGACATCTTAGATGAGTTTTGTAATGATCATGGTCACGGTCACGGTCCTCCCGTTGTTCATCTATTTGCTAGAGGGACCCAGTAACGTCTCAATCATGAGACTTGTTGTTACTGTGTTTGGCTTATTGAATACATCATGGGTAGCTTACCAGGCTTTGCCGTGCGGGCGAGATACTCTCGGTAGTTTGCCGGGCTCTCTGAGAGGGGTGGAGGAATCAGGCCAGCCAAGCCAAGGCAAATGCCCTACTGCTATGATATCGCTCTAGCCCTTTGTAATGATATTTTGAAATAAAATTTTATTCGTGTGTATATTTATAAAATCATTAATTATGCTCAGTTATGTTTTGCTACTACAGAGGCATAAAAAAACTAGAAATAAATGGCAATTAATGGATATCTACACTTAAAATATCATCATAAAAAGATAATCAGGATAGATATACAACATAATATCAAGGTGTGCTTTTCACTCAGAGAAATTATTTCTAAAACCACAGAAATAAATAATGTTTGAAAAATCTGATAGCTTAGTTATAGTGACACTCTCCAGGAAAATTCCGTTAGTACTATGATTATGTATCATGGTTTATAAAACATTAGTTTATGAGTTTGCTTTATTCCTCCACTATTTTGTCTTAAGCACATCTAGCAATGGTATATATATAATTTTATAGGCAAAATGACTGAATTGAATAAATAATGAATTTCCTATTTTAATCTGCACTTTGAAACAAGGAATTGGAGTTCTCAGAAATAATCTTACTTCCATAAATCATAATAATCCACAATTAAATTTTGCCTAATAATGATTTTCTACACATAACTTAAGGCTCACAAATAACTAAATTTTCTTAAGGGGCGTTTTTAAACACTACTAACGTTTACTTAAGTAGAGGAAGGTAATTCTAATTAAAAGTAATCATATTTTGCTTGCTAATAAAATACTCTTATTCAAACTGATGTTTTTTCTAACAAGGTAAATCTTTTTTTCCCCTTCTACAGGTCTTTCTAAAGGCCTCATCAATTTAATTAATGGAGAAAGTCTGATTACCACTATATTATCTTTTTCTATGTTCTTTAGTATTATTGATATTATCACCAGACTACAAACAATGGATCAGTATTCAGTCAGTGAGTTTTTGCTAGTTTTTATTTAACTTCTTAAAATCAGAATTCTATTTTTTCTGAAAATTTATATAGATTTTGTGGTGTTTTACCATAATGAAGCTGTAATTTACAGGTTAGTGATGTAACTATTGTGATTTACCCTCTAAAATGTATTACTACCCTTATTTAATAATAGTTATGATTTTGCAATGAGGATGGGTAGAGTTTTTCACAAAGTTGCAGAAACAATATTTCACACACCAGGACATGTAGTTTAACATTGGTTTGTCCTTTCTGCCTTGCCACAGGGAGCTTAGGTTTATTGGGTTACATCCATCAAATGCTCCTGAGGCACTCCATTCCTCTGTGTTTATCTGTAACCTCTTTCTTTATGCTCTGCTTCCCCAACTGGTCAATTACCTGTATCCCCTAATCCAGACGCTGTTAACTTGTAAATATTGGTTTTCTCTTCTCCTTATGTCCTTTGCATAGTTAATTCAGAGCATTGTCCTTTTTGTGTAGATACAGGAAGACAGTTAATGCTTTTGTAACTTAGGAAGTTAATTGACTCCAAGTAATATTCACTCCTGGACAACTGCTCTCTCGTCTTAAACCTCAGTTTACCTTAGTTCCTAGCACCCCGAAAGCAGGGTCCTGACAAAGGACTGGATTGACCCAGGGCAAGCTGTGAGCTACCTGGCATCAAAATGGGTGAGACCATAGCACCATAATACATAACTATTTAAGTTAAGGGCATGGTCATGAACAAATTCTGTCATGATCCCAAAAGTAATTACTGGATTAGGACCCTGCTAGGGTTAGGAAAGACTGATCTGGCCTGAGCACTGTAGTCTGAGATCTATAGCGAGATGCCCCCAGGAGAGCAATCCCAATAAGCCCAATGTATCTCTTACTGTGTCCATACAAAAGGTAAAGGCCCTCCTGTTGATCGTCGATTTGCTCGAGCGGGCCCAGTAACGTCTCCATTGGAGACTTTGTTGTTACTGTGTTTGGCATATCGAATACTCTCGGTAGCTTGCCAGGCTCTCCGAGAGGGGCGGAGGAATTGAACTCGGGTTGGCCATGTTGGCCGCTTGTAAGGTGAATGCCCTACCGCTGTGCTATCACTCCAGCCCGTCCATACAAAATAACTAATATTATTAAGGAGAATTAATATGAAGGTTTAAATGGCTATTGGACTAAGGAAAAGAGAAACACACCCCTAGGTGGTATTTCACCCTTGAGCAGATCTCTGGGCTGCAGGAGATCAGGCTGGGCTTTCATATGTTGATTGTGCTACTAGGGTGTGGCTGGTGTGGTTTGGAGGGATGAGAGACTAGAGAAACCAGGACTGTGAGTCTAGTCAAGTCGGGGCATACAGAGACTAGCAAGAAAGAGAGAAAGAGAAGAATGTGAGTCGGGGCATAGATAGACTAGCAAGGAAGAGAGAAGGAAAAGAATGTAGAGGAGAAAAAAGGTAGAAGCAGGATCCGGGGGAAAGGAATCAGAAGAATGTCGGAGCAGGGTCCAGGGGAGAGGAATCAAGGAGAATTGGGGGATCAGGGAGGATCAGGAGGAATCCAGGAGAAGAAAAAGAGATTCGGGGAAGGAGATTCAGAGGGAATAAACTGCAACTGATACCAACCAACCTGACTTCGTCCGTCCATGGCATTGGCGTCCCAGGAGGGGGAAAGGCCTAGGGTCACCGAACACATGTGGCAAGAGAGAGCCTATTTGTTATATGAATACACTGTCATCCTGTTGTTCATTGATTGCCTCGAGCAGACCCCAGTAATGTCTCCTTCGTCCTAGCCCTGAGATTTTAAAAAGTGCCACATTCGAGGCTCCTTCAGGACCAGAAGAATGAGACCCATCATTATTACTGGTTTTTGGCATATTGAATACGCCAAGGGGAGTTTGCCAGACTCTGCCATGAGGGCAGGATACTTTTGGTAGTCTGCCAGAGTGAAAACTAGATGATAAGATGCTTCCGGGAGCAGGGTTTTATAGTCTCTTGGTCTTGGCTGTTGATGGGATTACACAGCGCAGGGGGAAATTGGTGGGTGTAATGCCTACATACTGGAAGATGGGGGATCTGGGTGGAGGAGGCTTGGAGATCTAAGGCCCGGGTCCTGCACACCTGGGTTCCTCAGCCGGTTCTTTCATGCGTAAGGCTCTTCGGAACGTGTGGAAATTGGTCTTAAGTATGGCTGTGGCTGGAACCAGAGGTCTTCAGCTGCCAGGGCTCTGCTCATTGTGGGGAGGGAAACTCAATCCACCTTCCTCCAAGGGGCCCTGGTGAGGACAGCCAGGCACGGAGGCAGGAGACTCTGCGCTGTTCTATGAATACACAAAGACGGAAATTGATTTTTTTTTTACAATTTTATTAAGTCACCATGAAATTACAGTTATTCATGATTGGATTTCAGGCATACAATGTTTCAACACCAATCCCTTCATCAGTGTCCGCTTATCTCCACATATGTCTGTTAGGACCGAAGACCACCCCTCAATATTCAGAGAGACAAAAAGTTCAGCAGGAATGCAAATCACACAACAAGATTTTATTTTACTAGCTAGCTGGGGCCGAGACATCCTGACTCAGGTCGGAGCTCAACGAAAAACAGCTCCAAAGGCAAAAGTAATTTACAAAGAGTACAAAGAGAACAAAGGCATACAAAAGCAAATTATCAAGAAAACAAACATTCCCAATTAAGAAGACATTCCCAGTTCCCATACATCAAGAAAGCATCTTATCAGCTAGACACGAAAGCATGAAAGTACACATCTCAAGAGGGGAGATGCGGGCAACATATGTGCTCGGGCACATGTGCTCAGCCACGTGGGCACAAGCAGCACATGGGCTCAGGCAGCATATGCACGCCCTTCCTTTATTCAAAGTGGCCTTTATAGGGTTCCTCCAACCTGCCCCCATGTGGGCTTCTACCTAGATAAAAGTTCGTTGCTAAGGTTGGGAATGGTGATGGTCTTATTTGAAATTCCTTTCCTGGCCTTATGTTCCTGCAGGAGCTTCTCTGGGTCTGTTGTTGTAAACTAGTTAACTCAGTTAAATCATTTATTCCTCTTGGCCAGAACTGCTCCCTACAACTTTTACGACAAGGGTGAGAAGAGGTGAGCCAACTGCTTCTCATATTTCCCTTATCCTAGCATCTCACTGAGGAATCTTCTGCTTCTCACAGTGCCCTCCCAACCCCTGTTTGCTTCCCATTACCAGTTGGATTGGAGGTTACATATGTTTATATCTAAACTGAATTTATGAATTATGAATTTATTAATTTCATGATATATAAAATCACATCATATATAAATGCATATATGTCTTATTCATAATGTGCATAAATAATTTATATATAATGTAGTGCAGTCACCAGTGATGGAAGGAGACAGTTTCACTCTTCCTTATCTTGAACTTAGTTTCCTGCATGCAACAAACAACCCTGTCAGCTCAAGGAAAAAATATGAGTTGCATGCCCATCTCCAGACACGAGAGCAGGTCTTTCTTTTCATAAGCTGAATGTAGACATGGAGAACCTTGTCACAAGTACCTCCTTCCATGTTCACCCTAGCTCCACCTAGTTATGAAATCTTTCCAGGGCTTTCTTCAAATTGAGAGAATCGGATGTGTGAAGAACTCTAAAATCTACATTTCTCCCACACTTTTAGTTTTCTACTTTCCAGGAGACATATCTGCGTGAGGATTCACAAAGAAATTCTTTTTTTTGGTTCAGACCGGCAGTGCTCAGGGGTTACTCCTGGCTCTGCACTCAGGAATTACTCCTGGCAGTGCTCAGGGACCATATGGGATGCTGGGGATCAAACCCAGGTCAGCCACATGCAAGGCAAATGCGCTACCTACTGTACTATTGCTCCAGCCCCACAAAGGAATTCTTTGATTTTCATTTTACCACTTCAGAGCACAGGTCTAGGTAGAATATACTTCTTCTTTTGTTGAGATTGCTGTTACTGTTTTTCTGTTGATCATTGTAGGCTTTGTTTCAATTCTAGCTCTATTCTGTTGAACTTGGACCTTCAGGCTTTCCTAACCCCAGGACTCCTCTGGGATTCAAATTTCATGCCTCTCTTCCTCAGTCTTGAAAGGTTGGAAAGGCATAATCTCCTACTTTCGTGCTAGATTCCAGCAACTGGCTTCTAAGATTTTAGGTCTCCTTATATCCTTACATCCTTGTAGCTGTGGGAAGCAATTAGCAAAATATCAGTATCAAAAAGGGCAATTCCACTTACTGGGCCTACAAAAGTAATGAAAGATGTTAACATACCCTACAGTTTTGTTTATCTTAGAAATATGAAATGTCCAACAATAAATAACCAGTAAATTTTGCAGGCTAAATAAAATCAAGACATTTACTCAACTAGGAGCCAGAAGCTATCCTTTTCTTGATCACTTAACTTCCTGATACTCATTGATTTACTCGAGCGGGCACCAGAAATGTCTCCATTTGTCCCTGTCGCATACTAGTGTAGCCCAATGGCAATGGCATCTGTTCGTTCTAGGAACACAAAGAGCCTCAAACTGATCATTCAGGGTCTTGGCAAAGAAGTCTGACCATTTTGTAGGTGGGCGGCCACCTGGTCTTTTGACTTCCAGTGGAATCCAGTCAGTAAAGGCTCTAGTCCAGCGTCATCTCCAAATCTCATTATGTGTCCAGCCCATCTGATTTTTGATGCCTTGGCAAACGAGACAGCATCCCTGATTCTTGACCATTGATGGAGGTAGGAGCTCCGAATTCTTTCTCTCATTTGAGTGAAATGTGATACTCTAAGCATAGCTCTTTCAATTCCTCTTTGGGAGACCTAAATAGTGTTCTCATCCTGTTTTCATAGAGCCCAGGTCTCTGAGGCGTATGTTAATGCAAAGAAGAACAGTAGAATCGAAGAGATGTGCCCAGAGCCAGAGGTTCTTCATCCTCTTAGCTATTTCTTTGATGCACTTGAAGGTGTTCCAAGCCACTCAGTTGCCTGGTCATTCGTCACGTTGACTTCTCGACCTAGGTACACATAACTCTTGCATTCGGATATGTTCGTCCATTGAGAGTGAATGGAACATTCCATTTCTCATAAACATTGTCTTTGTGAGATTCAGCTGAAGTCTGACCTTTCCACACTCACGGTCGAAGTCGGCCAGCATTTGTGCAGCTTGGCTGATGTTTGGTGTTATAAGAACAATGTCATCAGCAAAGTGGAGGTGGTGTAGTTGCCGACTGTCTATCTTCACCCCCATTCCTTCCCATTTCAGTCATCGCATGACATTCCCAAGGGTGGCACTGAAGAGTTTCAGTGAAATGGTATCACCCTGCCGAAACCCTCTCTTGACATGGATGATCACTTCTTTGTAGAATGGTGAGATCCTGGTAGAGAATTCGTAATACAACTCACAGAGGATCCTGATGTATTGAGTTTGAAAGCCCTGAATGGCTAGGGCCTCAATGACCACCTCAGTCTCAACAGAATCAAAGGCCTTCTTTAAATCAATGAATGTTAGACAGAGTGGCATCTTGAACTCCCAAGAAACCTCAATGAGCTTGGATATCATATGGATATTGTTGATCGTGCTGAATCCTTTGAGGAGCCCAGCTTGCTCGCATAGTTGTTCTTCATCTAGTGTTCTGCCAATCCTATTCAGAATTACTCGAGTGAACAGCTTTTAGATGACAGACAATTGGCAGTTGCCAATGTTATAAATGTCTCCCTTCTTGTACAGTAGTACAGTCCTGCTGGTTTTCCCTTGGGGCGGGACCTTGCATGAAGACAGGTAGAGTGTGAAGAGCCGAGCCAGTGTATTGATGAGTACTGATGACAAGTTCTTTAGGTGTTCAGGTCTGACCTTGTCTGGGCCAGGTGATGTACGTTTTTTTACCGATGAAATGGCATGTTGGATTTCGGAAGGGAGAACGTTGGGAATGACAAATCCATCCTGCAGAATTTGGTACATGGACAGGTGGATGTGGCTATCAAAGAGATCTGAGTAGAAGTCATAAATAATCTTCTTCATTTCCCTTCTGGAAGATGTGATAGATCCATTAGGACGTCAGAGGGCAGTCATCTTGGTCTTGTAGCTGGAAAAGGACAGGCGGGCATTATGAATGCTTTTTCCAGCTTCTGCCACATCTGCCAGCACTGCTGCTCTTCTCTCTTTGAGGTCTTCCTTGATCACTTCTCTGCACTGCTTTGTGAGCTGGGACGTTCACTTGCGGTTGCCTGAGGCATGCGCCAAACCACGTTGGCAAATAAGCTCAAGAGTTTTCGAAAACAATCATTTTTTTGTAGCTATCTCTCTCTCTCGGAGTTCTTCGCACAATCATGGAGGTGCTGAACCAGTCAATCGTATTCCTCGCCAATGTTGTCAATGACAGCATCTTCCCATATTGCAGCAATAGTGCCAAAGAGCTCCCAGTTGGTGGTCGTTTTGGGAGTTCTCTTCTTAAACTTTGCAGCCCTTTATCCCTGCTCTGTGTTGTAAAATTTTGCACAAAGGCGACGGTGGTCACATCCTGCTTGGAATTTTGGGACAACAACGACATGGGTCAGGCAAAACCGTCGATGGAATATGATGTGGTCAATTTTGTTGTGGAACCATCCACTGGGAGACTTCCATGGCCAATGTTTAGATTTGGCCTTCTGCAATTGAGTTACCATGGATGGTCTTGGTCGACATGACAAACCCAAATAGTCTCTTACCCTGTTCGTTCCATTCTAGGCCATGGGTCCCGATGTGGAGTTCTTCGGCTGATCTTCTCCGTCCTATCTTGGTATTAAAATCACCGACAATGATCTTGTAGAAGGTGTTATCTTCTTTGTAGAACTTCTCCCACTCCATGTAGAACTTATCAATTTCTTCATTATCATAATTGGATGTTGGTGCGTAGACAATGAAGATAGAAACTGCCAGCAGTGAGCCACATATTTTCAAGTGTAATCATCCAATTCGACTTGTTAGGCATTCAAATGAATCATTGCTCTTGGCGAAGTTCGTGTTGACAAGGACACCGACTCCTACCATGCCTCTTTTGTCACGTGTTCCAAGGAACAGTTCTTCTCCAATGTCGAAAACATCGTGATGTGATTGATGTCTTCTCCTTTCGGTCAGACCTATGATGTCGTACTTGATCTTTCACGCTTGTACCTTCAGGTCCTCGATGGATGCATCTGATGCCAGAGTATGTGCATTGAAAGTACAGACAATCATTTTTGTCTTTCTTCATTTTGGCAGCCTATTTCTGCCTTGGCATTTTATCAGCCTCTCCTTCCACATCCTTCTCAACGCTGCCGTATTGGTGACTCCTTTAGGGTCAGGGGAATGAGACCCATTGTATTTACATGAATACACCATGGCATATCCTTTTCTTATGCTGCATACGTACTACCACTAGCACTGTCCTCCCATTGATGATCTATTTGCTTGAGCAGGCCCAGTAACATCGGCATCGTGGGACTTTTTGTTACTGGTTTGGCTTATCAAATACAACACGGGTAGCTTGACAGGCTTTGCCGTGTGGGCGAGATACTCTCGATAGCTTGCCGGGCTCTCGGTGAGGGGCTGAGGAATCAAACTCAGATACATTATTGCTAAATCTTGAATATAATTTTCACCAGTTTAGGAATTTTCTACTTCTTGTTCAAAACTACAATCTCAAAACATATCCCATTGTTTGATCCTGAATAAATATGCTTTCTATATATTGTCTGGAAAAGTTCCTAGAAAAAATAGGGTTCCTTGGGCTGCTTTTTTTGAGGTGGGAGAGTGGTTGCAACCTCCAGAAGGGAGTTTATTTCTTCCTCCACTACCAAACTTCTTGGTGGTGGTGAGACAGGGTAGTGGGCAAGGCTAGTAGGAGAGGGTTGGGGGGAGGAGTGCCTGGGTAAATCTAGGACAGTTGGGAGACCGCTAACGAGCACTTGCATGGCACAAACTTTACATTTCACAGACCCGGGAGGCAGTCCTCAAACTAGACCTGGGTTCCATTTGTTCAGTGCCACATGGGAAATCCTCTCTGCCACCTGGTTTCTCCAAGAACCACGGAATCCAGACTGGAGTGAGGCATTGCTCTTTGAAGGAATGGAGTCAGTTCTAAATCTTTCCAGGGGCAGGGTCTTCCTTCACAGAAAAGAATTTCAGGAGAAGAAGAATAAAGTAAAACAAGCTTTTTAGGTGAATAAAGGGAGGGAAGAAGAGAGGCAGATACATACATGTTCAGGAGAGAACACGGGCTCCTCCATCGTGGAGTAAAGGTACAAGTACAGATTCCAAACAGGACAGTGCAGATTGGGGGCATGTGCCCGAAAGCAAGAAAACACACATCTCTGGCAGATGTGGACCAAAGAAGTACCATTTCCTCTGCCACGTTAGCTTTTATGTAGTTTTTCTAAACTGCCCTCCCCACCTCCCACTCTGTTGCTAGGTTGGTTGCCAAGGGTAGTGGGGAGGGGGGAGGAGTTTAGAGCTATGATGGGCCTTTAATATTCTTTGTTTATCTTTGTTTCTGCAATGGAACCTCTCCTCCCAGGTGGCCAGCTAAGGCCCTCTAGGGAAACTATTCTGCATCTGAATGTTTGTCAGGCTCCTGAGATGGACCTTTTGTATCAAAGGCCTTTGCCTTTGAGCTGGTTTAGCTTCCAGATAACGTTCTTCCTAAGACACCCCTACCTACCAGCTTGCAACAAAACTCAATTTTTTGCACTTGAAAACAAATTCTTTTAACTTAAGAATAAAAAAATATGATGAAACTACCTCAAGGCAATGAACATTGTTAAAGATAACCAAAAATGAAAAAAAATGGCCCCAAAATTAAGAGTAGGTTCTACTAACACTTTTATATTTATTATTTTTAATAACAATATTAAATATATTAAATATTTTATTATTATTATCATTACAGGCTATGAAATCTTGAAGCACATTTTCTCACATTTTATAGCAAGTTCTTTGTTTGGATATCTATGCTCAAAATTGATTTATCTATGGATAACTAATGTTTTTGCTGATGATATCAATCATATAAGTTTCTGCTTTTCTGTACTGTACCTTGTCTTTTTTACTGGTAAGTGGGGAGATTGTGCAAAAGTTAAATGATATAGGAAACATTCCCCCAAAATGTATAGAATCATATTACCAGCACAGGTTAGTTAAAAAATAACCACTTAAACCATTGTTAAAATTATCAGAGTAAGCTCTGAGCATTGCTGGGTGTGGCCAAAAAAACAAAAATAAATAAAATTATCAAACAATTTTCAAAATATCAATATCTGTACAACAGAAAATCATGTAACAAAATATATATCATAAATATTATAATTTACAGAATTTAACAGAATCACCATTATATTGATATAATTTAGCATGCATTGCCAGGATAATTTTATATTCATTTGGGCAAAAAATGTGTCTAATTATAAAAGTTCTTGGTAGGGAGAAGTTTTGGGCTACATTCCATAGTGCTCAGGGAGGTTCTCGTGGGATCATAAACAGTGCCACGTGTTGCAGGCAGAAAAGTGGGGGGCATGGTAAAGTATGTTAGGAAAACTGAAACCTGAACCAGTTCTAGAGCATGAAGGTCTTAGACACAAAGGATCCATCTCAGGAGTGCATAGAACCATTGAGATACAGAGAAGTGACTGAAATCCCTGGGAGGGGAGCGTCTGCAGGAGCAAAAGGGTGGAGCACCAGGTAAATTTAGTTGGTTACTTTAAATCTCGCCCATGGAAAAAGCAACCAATCAGAATTGATAATGGGATGGCTGGTGATAGGATAAGGAAGCCCCCAACCCCTCTATCTCTCCCTCTTTCTCTCTCTCTCTCTCTCTCTCTCTCTCTCTCTCTCTCTCTCTCTCTCTCTCTCTCTCTCTTTCCCTGCCCTGAAGAAAAAGAGCACAACATAGAATCTTGAGATTCCTATATAATCAGTGGATTAAAGTCAATTATTATTTAGTCAGGTTATATATCCAAGTCGATAAATTAATAGATCAGAAAAGAAAAGAGTTATAAAGCATATAACTCATATACTGAGTCATATATTTATATGTAAATTTCTACAAAAATATAACTAGAAAACAGAACTTCTAACCTTCTTGAGAAAGTTAGCATAGACTCTTGAAACACTGGTAGCAAAATTTGTGTTGTAGCTCTGCAAATATAAAATAACTTTAAAAGTATTGTAAACTATGGTTTACAATAAAATTAATATTGAAAAGAAGAAAGTATCTATAGTGAATTAGTCCATAGAAAATATTTTCCATTTAATTCTCTCAGAGCCCTTCTGAAATAAAAATGAGACTTGTAGAATACTTTCAAAGGGTATGTGAAGAGCTTTGTCAGTTCCATATGTGACCAAATAGCTTATGCCAACATAGTGCCAGGATGTTAAATAGAGACTCTAAACAGTTGGGTGTGAATTTGAGGCAGAAAATAGATGATAATAATTTGTAATATTACTGTTCTGCTCAAAACAAGATGGGGAAAAGCCTGTTTATAATTTCACTATATCCAAAATATCTCTGCTAATATTTATGTCACTATTGATGTTCAATTAACACTTTATATATATTTTTTAATTAGGTGAGCTACTTGGAATGTCTGGAATATTTGCTGTTGCCATTATGGGACTTTTTTTAAATTCTACAACCTTCAAACCAGAAATAGAATCACTTCTTCTTGAGTGAGTGATTCACTTCTTGAATGAGTTCATACATTAGAAACTATAATTTAAAGTCGTATCCATAGCTATATGGTAAAAGATAATAAATAGGCAACTAGTGAACAAAAAAAATCCTATTGTCTATTATTTATAAGGCTCTGATTCTAGGCAAAATTTGAATTCATATTAGCTTTCTACACTGATTCCTTGAACTACATACGGTCCCTCAAGCACCACCAGGAATGATATCTGAATGCAGAGCCAAGAGTAAGCCCTAAACATCACTGTGTGTGGCCTCAAAACAGAAGGAAACAAACAAAAAATACCAAATAATATTATTGTATCCTGAACATTTTTTTCAATCAATCCTAAAAAAGTAAAACAGTGATTTATTTGCTATAAACTTTAAAATAGTTTGCTAATCCTTATGCTACTTTCTCCCCAATTAAATTATACACCACTTAAGTATTAGTAAATGGTGAATTCATTTTTGTTATTTTACTAATGCCTACCACCACACCTCACAGAAATAAGCATTGCAATACAAAGATTAACTATAATTAACTATTCTTTTTTTTTCTAAAAATTTAGGTTCTGGAATTGTCTGTCATTTGTTGCTTTTCTTTTGGTGTTTATTCTAACTGGACTTCTAATTCCTGCACACACATATTTATACATAGCATTTTCTGATATATACTATTCATTAAATATCTGCTTCACACTTACTGTTTTAAGGTAAGAATGATTTTATATTTTTATATAAAAATTGATAGTACTTAATACATTTTAATAATAAAAATGTTTCATATCTTAGAATAAAAAATTGATTCAAAATATTCAAGAAATTATCAGCAACAGTTCTTAGTAATTTTAACTACTGTTTAAAGTTAAACAGCACAAGCACTTTGTAAAACTTTTTAATTAAAAAAATGTTCTCCTTATCTTACTTATAAGAGGCAAATATTAGGTTTTGTAAAATCAAGCACTTTAGATAATATATATGTACATATACAGTCTTATAATGTTTATTTAACATTATGTAACAAATAATTTTGTCCTACTTAAATTATAGTTAGGAACTATCTTTTGCATTTTGTTATTGTTGTCTTCATGCCTCTGTATGATTATAACTGTCCCCATTCAAAGATTTATAGTATCCCACCCACTTCTTCTGCTCATTCCTCCCCTCCTCCCCATCACCTCTGGTAACTGCCATAAGTTCACTGAATCTAAGAGTTACTTTATTGTTTCTTGCCAGTTTATTTGCCCTGGTAATTTGTATTCTAAATATGAGCAAAGCTATCTAATAATTTCCCTTCCTTCCTTATTTCTTTAGTACAGACACCTCACATTCCATTGATTTTGCCCCTCAAGACATCATATTGTCATTTACAATCCCTTCCTTTATTCCTTTCCTTCTTACTTCCTTCATTTTTTTCCATTCTTTTCTCTTCTCTCCCATCTCTCACCTCCACACAGAGTGTTGGATATAGAACTCAGACCTCGTATTAACATTTAAATATTTTAAGTATGAATTTTTAATCTTCAGTATTAAAATTGGTAATACTCTATTTCCTGGGCTGGAGATATAGCACAGTAGGTAGGACCCCAGATGGAGCAGGTGCAATCTCCCTGCCTACTCCAGATGGAATCCCGGTGACCAAGAGCTTCCACAAGCAAGGCCTAGGTATGCGGGTTCCGGGACTGAATCTCCAGGCTGCATGGTGGCAGAGGGCCCTAACTGTCCTTCCCCAGGTCCCAACCTGCCCAGCAGACTGGCTGTCATGCCCCAATTTGCCTCCGGGCACCATCTTAACGCACCAACAACCCAGGCCCAGAGACACATCAGCAAGTCCCATAGGACACCACAGCGCTGGAGATCTCTCTGGGCTCCATACTGGTCCAGTTTCACTGGGGCACCCCAGATGAAGTAGATGCAGTCTCCCCACCTACTCCAGATGGAATCCTGGTGACCAAGAGCTTTCACAAGCAAGACCCAGATATGCGGGTTCCAGGACTGAATCTCCAGCCTGCATGGAATCAGAAGACCCACGATGTCTCTACCCGGGTCCACGCCCACCCATCAGACTGGCTGTTACACCCACAATTTGCCTCCAGGTGCCATCTTAGCACACCAACAACCCTGGTCCGGAGACTCCCAATTGAAACCCAAAATGAATTAATGCCATTCAGAAATGTCTCTAGAACCCAACCATTTACAATCTAGAAATTTACATTTATAATTGCAGCCGTATGAACTCTCATGATATTCAAAATGAGCAATGGGAAATAAATTATCTAGTGTCTGTCCCTGGCAGGTAGGCTTGAACCATGGTGGGAAATTTCGAGCAAAACATAATGCCCAAAATTAGAGAGAAAGTATTGGGGAAATTGTCTGCCATAGTGGCAGGGTGAAAATTGGAATGTAGGTGGTGGAGAATGTGCACTGGTGGAGGGATGGGTGTTTCATCATTTATGGCTGAATCTAAAACATGAAAGCTTTGTAACTCTATCTCGAGGTGATACAATTAAAAAAAAAAAGTAATGTGGAGTTCATGCCCAATTCAATCAGCTTAATCAATGACTGAAAAAATAGCAGTATTCCTACATTATTAAAAAAAAAGAAAGGAAGGAAGGAAGGAAGGAAGGAAGGAAGGAAGGAAGGAAGGAAGAAAGAAAAGAAAAAGTATCATTCAAGCATAATACTGATTTGTACTAATCATCTAGCAGAAGAAATAGAGAATAACATCATTCTTTTGGCAAATCACTATATGGAATAAATGTTCATCTACCTATCTCTAATTCTATGCAAGCGTGATGACTCATTTACCTAAAAATTAGCAGTTCCACAGGGAATAGGCTGAACGAGTTAAAGAGAAGTAATTTCTACAATAAAGAATAACTTTCAGGGTTTTTTTGTCTTTCAGACTTCTGGTCTTTCTATCTATGAGCCCTCTTTTGTCTCGACTTGGCAATGGCTACAGCTGGCGCTGGGCATTCATAATGGTCTGGAGCAAAATGAATGGGATACCTAATATAAGCATGGCTCTTATATTTGCCTACTCTGAGCTTTCCCTTGGAACTGAAGAGAAAAAATCTCAAGTAAAAAAAGCTGTATCTTGGGAAGGATCTTTTATTAAGATTGTTAATGTGACTTTGTACACAGATAGTTCAAATGATAGTGATTTCACTATGATGGCAAGCTTGGGGAGATGATATCAACTAGCAAATCTTCTTTTTCAAGTCAAGTTTAGCAATCTCCAAAGCTCTTCAATAGTAGTCCTACAATAGAAATTATGTAAATATAAATAATGCAATGTAAAGCATTTAAACTAACAATATAGAACATGCATTCAATAAATATTTTTATTTACCCCTACCATCTATTGAAGTGAAACAGAAATCTAATTTTTTTAAATGTAGGAGCACTGCTATTTATTCAGCCATTGATTAAGCTGGAAATCTAATTGTTATTGTCTTTCTTCTTTTGTAATATTAAAAATAACTACTGAGTACTATTAGTTTCCTAATTAACATTATAAGTAAAGTTACCTCTAAGTAATATCCATAACTCTGCCATGACTCATACCTAAATAAAGCATGATAGCATAAAGCACCTTGTTCCTCATTTCAAAGTTAGATAATTATAAGGAGGTTTTTAAGAAACACTCTATGCAAGCACTCTATGCAAGATGCAAAAACTCTATGCATCAATACTTTCATTATTTTTAACACAAATTGAAGTGTAAAGGGAAGGATAGTGAATTAGTACATGTCTAATTAAATAATAACCTTAAAATCTAAACATTAAATCTTTAAACACTATTTTAATTGCCTTCTTTTTGACCTATTTATTCATACTGGGAAATTTAATGATCAGCTCTCAGAAACTGGTAAAAGCCAGTTCTGACACAGCACTGTTTCAAAGGGTTATTAATAGAACTAGAAACTACACTTAAATCATGTATTATATTGTGTGTTTATATTAAATATGCAGTACATACAAACTGTTTTGATGATTATTCAGGTGATAGCCTATATGAATGCTTTGAAATGGAATTTTCATAATTAAAATAATTTAGTCAAATGGTTGCATAAGCAGTAACTACTTGAGAAGAGAGGTAGAGAACATCTAACCAGAGGTCTTGCAGTTAAAAGCAAGTGGTCTTACTCTGGTACTTGATAGAATAGAAATCCTATCAGTTTCATCCCATCAACTGTCTGTGGTCCATTAGTTTGTATTATATAAAGACAAATAGCATTACAAATATCCGAATGTTCCTAAATAGGATAAAGATTCTCCACCCCTATTCCCATGCAACAGTTAGGAACTTATATGCTTTAGTGATCCATGACTAATTTCCAATTGCAGTTATAGGTTAAAGAACTAGCTAGGAGTCTAATCTAAGGTTTGAACGTTTGGACCCCATGAATGAGCAAACACGAATAGTCTGAGTTGGAAAACTAGTTATCTACTCATCTTTGTTTATCAACTTGGGACAGGAGTAGAAAATAATATAAAGTGGCATAAGAAACATTTATTAGCCCTCCTCTGAGATAATGAAGGAATGTCAGAGAGGCAAAGTAAACATTGAGGTCTCAGAGTTGTTCCCTTTTCCTAGATGAGGAAACCTGCTTTAATATTGATGTTTTAATACTAGTAATCTTGGGCACCAAATTGTGTAACTATGCACTTGTACATATGCAGTGGTTAAGAATTGAGGAAGAAATTACAGGAACATTTCCAAAGTTCTGAAATTTAAAGAATTTAACATAATTTAAAACATTTGTTTGTTGTTTTTTTAAATAATATCTCTATGCTTACTTGTCAAATCATGAATCCTAGCTTTATGATTTGGCCCCAAAAGCTTGAGTCAAGTACATGAAAGAAGATCATAGAGTCCCAAGGTATTTTTATATTCTCAAAAATTCCTACCTTGTCATCAATATTTATTAACATAATACAATTTAGCTGAATGGTCATTAGTAGATACAGAATGCTTTATATAATATTGTCATGAAAACTTACTTTATATTTTCTTTATTCTAGGTATTATTTCATGGAGTCACAATATGCCTTATTAATCTGCTTATTAGTAGATTTATTTTGCCAGTGGCAGTTAACAGACTAGGTAATCCAAGTAATTGTTATTCTGAGTGAAGATAAAAAAAAATCTGAATGAACTTAAGCATTCAATTATGAAGAAATTACATAATGACAAATCAGTGATACCTAACTGTATGTCTTTGTGAAAGCATATAATAGCTTAGGCCAATACGTCTATTTAATTTAATTATTTGGGTTGGGAGATAGATCAAATGGCAGAGCAGATGCTCAGTATGTTAAAAGCTTATGAATTTCAGGCACACTGCTGGTTTTGGGTTCTGTAGCCCCCTGCCCTCGAACTCCCAAATCTGGGCAGGCAGAACACAGCACAAAGTCAAACATGGTAAGATAAGAGAGCCATGTGTACATAAAAGTAAACAAAACACTTTTAAAAAAATTATAAACTTAACTACATTACTGAGGAAGATAGAAATGGAGTATATTCAGGAAAGAGTATTTTAAGGTTTTGGAAACTTCAAGAATAATGCAGATAGTAGAGGAAAACCAGATGGGAATGGTAAGGAGGATTTAGAAATGGAAACCAATATGAATTAAGTAAGAAATAGCACCTTGGTGGAAACGTTCTGCCCTTACTGTGCAGCAATAGCCTCCACATTGCTGTGGCAACCTTCTGGAAACCCACCTGCTCTCTCATAACCTTCATTAGGTGAGCTCTGAGTCTTCTTCAGCCTCCTGGTGGAAATCCCAAGCCCTAATCATGCAGCTCATCATAAGTGACAAGAAGACTGCCACTTCACAACGTTGTTCATCTACCCACTCCCATCCTCTTCAGTGACCTCACAGTACTCTCCATGGACCCCCACAAAGTCCTCAGGCATTAGAGCTTCAAATTTGATTCTGCCCTATTCGTTCTGAGGAGAAAGTATCTGAGGAGCAGTATCATACAGATTAGCATTACAAACATGAGCCCAGCATCACCAATGGAAAATCTGATTACTTTCCAGATCCTCTAGGATTCAATTCCCCACCCTTAAGACTCAGAAAGCACAAAGAATAATGAAAAAGGGCCAGAGAGATAGTAGAGAGGGTGTGGAGCTTGCCTTGCATGTGGCTGGTCAGGATTCAATCCCTGTCACTCCATATGGCGTCCTGAGTCTAGTGATTTCTGAGTGTAGAGCCAGTAGCAAACCCTGAGTGCCCCCAAGTAAGGTCTCATACAGAAGATAAGTAAATGAATAAAATTTTAAAATAATTCAGTTGCCTAGCCAGCAGGGAGCAGAAGTCCAGATAAGTCATCAAGCTTATCAGAATGCTCATCATTGCCTGAGGATGAGGTATATGATAAGTGATATGAAAAAAAAAAAGGGTGAACAAGAGATCTACGCAGCTTCAAAAAATGATACTGGAAAAAAATTAATTGATCAAAATAGACATGAAGGAGTTGAAGACCAAACTACAGCAGCTTCATAAAATAATCCCAAAGATGACCTTAAAGACAGTGATCAGTTACCTTGGAGACAAAGCAGGAAATAATAAGAAAAAAGAAGAAATAGGAAAACAAATTATTTTGAAAGCATGATGAAAAGTTACAGCATTTAATGGCAATAGCAAGTGGGACAACCTCAGAATAGTGAAGATAGGGAAAGAGAAGAAAGAGAGAAAAAGAAAGAAAAACTGGTTAAGGAGATAATAAGTATGGACTTCCACAGCTCGGAGTGGGAGATCTATGAGCAGACTCAGGAAGTCCAGAGAATCCTAAACTAAATAAACCCAAATAGAATAGCCCCAAGACACATTGTAGCCAAAATGGCAAGAACCGAAGAGAGACAGACCACTTAAGGCAGCAAATAGAGGAAATATAAAGTTCACTGCAGATTTCTCGTATGAAAGCAAAAAGGGAATGAAATCACATATTAAAGTACTTACTGAAAGGAAATTCTAACCAAATCTCTTCCATGCGTGTCTATCTTTAAGATTTGAAAAAGAAATAGTATTTCCAAGAGCTGCTAGAGGAATTGATTAGATACAAATCATTCCTGACCAGATGGTCTCCTACTCTATCTAAAGAAAAAATCTTCATGTAAGGCATACAATAGAAAGGACATAAACCCTCATAGAAATATGGTTTCAAACTCATTCACATCAATAATCTTGCTCAAAAATATTCAACTGAACTATTCTATTGAAAGAGAGTGGCTGGATGGATCAAAACACAGTTTCCTACTCCCATAAGAAACCCACTTACAGTGGTCTGCAACTATTTAACTCTTTTAACTCAAGGATAAACACATTTTCAGAGTAAAAGGATGGGAAACAGTCATGTGATATAGCATTCAACCAAAAAAAAGCAGGTATAGCAGTACTTGTATCAAATCAAATAGCATTCAAACTAAATAAGGTACTAATAGAAAGGAACAGTTACTACAAGTTGGTCCAAGTTTCAATAAGCCAAGACGACAGAATACAAACTTGAGAGTTTGGAGGTAGAGGTCTGGGAAACAAATAGATTGACTGCAAGTAGCACAGGAACATAGGTGGAGGGTCTCAAGCACAAGGATGGTGCTAAAGTGGTAACTGTCATTTAATAAATAATGGGGGAGTGGTGGAAGGAAAGAAATATTAGACTGGAGGTGACAGTAGAGGTGGAGAGGATCATGGACACTTTGGTAACTGCATCAATACCAGAAACTTGAACACTAAATCCATTGTAATCTTATAACCAAAACTATAGTTAAAAATCTTTAAAACAATAATAATGATTATGACAATGATAAGCAAGAAACATCTTTGGTTTATTTCTTCAAAGTAGATTTGTTGGTCTTCATGTTAAGCATAAATGCTATGGACATGAATTCACAATTTTAAAGTGTAACTGACATATATAGGTAATTCCTTATAAATAACTGACATATAAATAACTGACATATATAGGTAACTCCTTATAAATAACTCCTCATAAATAAGTAGTGAGAGGATCTTAGAGAATTTTGTGATTACTATGGGACAGAGTCGAAATGATCATTCATAACAGAGGTTTCTCAACTCATGTGGCTGGCTGCTCCTTTTTCAGAAAAAATGTAAACACTCAGTGCCACTTAGAAACCAACCTTTAAGAAAACAAACAGACTGGGATTAGTAGTGGTGGAGAATGGGCACTGGTGGAGGGATGGGTACTCGATCATTGTGTAGCTGAAACCCAAGCACAAAAATTTGTAAGTCTACAACTGTACCTCATGGTGTTTCACTAATACAAATTTAAAAAAAAAAAAAACCAGAAAGGAGCCCCCAGTTCACCTGAGACAATTCCTTCTCTCCCTGGATTGGCTCAGGCACTGCCCTATGTAATATGCCTATTAACCAACTTTTTAATAATTCAGAAATAGATTAAGAGAATTCAGGCTTCTGGCCTACCACTAGTAAATAACAATGGAAGAACTAAATAAAAAATTATCCGGATGCTTTAAATCCACTATATTCTTTTTTATCTTTAGTTTTGGAGTCACACCCAGCAATGTGTGGACTTGTCCTGGCTCTCTGCTCAGGGATCACTCCTGATGGTACTCAGAGGATCATATGTGGTGCTGGGTATTAAATCCAGGTCAGCTTCAGATGAATCTAACCCAATGTACTATTTCTCCAGCCCAAACCACTGTATCCTTAATTGACCATCTTCCTGTTATAGGCAGATATTTTTTCCCAAATGGCAGTTTTAAGATAAATCGAAAATATTGTCTTTATGAATAACATAAAAATTAACAATATTCCTTCCTTTTTCATGTTTTTTATATTTTTAAAATTCTGAATTTTTATTTTTAAAATTCTCATAGTAAAAAGAGAGAAGTTAGAACAGTTTTGCATAATGTCATACGTTCTACTAATTAATAGATAAACTTAGTATTCATAATGTCATATGTTCTACTAGTTAATAAATAAACTTAGTATTCATATTGTGGAGTTTTTGTTTACTTGCACTGAAAGCAGTGAACATTCACTCACAGAATATTATACCTTTCCAAAGATGCTATGACTCAAGGACACAGGACGGGAGAGGTAATTGTGTCTGAGAGTAAAAGTTCTGCAAACCTTCAAGAAAAGACAGGAGAGGACCAATGTCCCAGCTAGAGGACTATCAGATAGAGAAAGTGGACTTCTGTTATGTTAAGACCTCTATTGAATTGAATGAATACTGCCCACTTGAGGAGAAAAATTTGTTTATTATATTTGCCGATTTCAATGCCATTATATTGGAGCTGGAGCAATAGCACAGCGGGTAGGGCATTTGCCTTGCACACGGCCAACCCGGGTTCAATTCCCAGCATCCCATATGATCCCCTGAGCACCGCCAGGGGTAATTTCTGAGGGTAGAGCCAGGAGTAACCCCTGTGCATTGCCAGGTGTGACCCCGCCAAAAAATTTTAAAAAATAAATGTCATATTATTTTTTAATTTTAGGCACTGTGTTATGCAATATTGCAAATATTAAGATTTGATGCATACAACCTTCCAACGCCACTGCCTCAACCAGAGTATTTGCCTCTCTCCACTACTGTCTAAGGGTCCCCCTGCCATAACATCCCTACAGTTTCCCTGACATAGCAAGCTCAGTGCTGTAGATCAGTTCACAGCTTTTGTTACTTTAGGCCATTATTTTTTAAATTTTTTATTAGTGAATCACCATGAGGTACAGTTACAAACTTACAAACTTCTGTATTTCAGTCATAAAATAAGCATTTACCCATCCCTCCACCAGTGCCCATTCTCCTCCACCAATGTTCACAATATCCTTCCCACCACCCCAACCCCACCTCACCCCCACCCCCACCCCACTCTGTCTCTGTGGCAGGACATTCCCTTTTGCTTTTTCTATCCTTTTGGGTGTTGTGGTTTGCAATAGAGGTATTGAGTGGTCATTGTGTTCCGTCTATTGTCTACTTTTGGCACTCATCTTTCAACCTAAATGGTTCCTCCCAACATCCTTTACTTGATGTTCCCTTCTCTATCTGAGCTGCCTTTTCCCCTAGCATGTGAGGCCGGTTTCCAAGCCGTGGATCAGACCTCCTGGTCCTTATCTCTACTACTCCTGGGAGTTAATCTCTCATTCTGTTACTTTATATTCCACAGATGAGTGCAAGCTTTCTATGCCTGTCCCTCTCTTTCTGACTCATTTCACTTGACATGATACTTTCCATGTTGATCCACTTATATGCAAATTTCATGACTTCATTTTTTCTAACACCTGCATAGTATTCCACTTTGTAGATGTAGTTTCTTTAACCAGTCATCTGTTTTCAGTCACTCAGGATTTTTCCAGATTTTGGCTACTGTAAGCAGTGCAGCAATGAACATACAAGTGCAGATGTCATTTCTACTATACTTTTTCGTACTTTGGGCCATTTGCTGGTCCCTTCCTGTGCTTTTTTTTATATCCCACATAAGAGAGAGGTTATTCCATAAATGCTATTCTCATGCATAAACACTTTTGCAAATATACCCAGAATAATAACCAAGTATCTGGAAATCTCTGTGACTCAGTCAAGTTGACACACAAAATGAATATTCTCAGCTCAATTCCTCATGCTTTGAACTGAGAGAAGGAATTCACTAATGTTGAAAGATGGTAAAGATGATTGAAAGACTTCACTATTGCTAGGTGTTGAGAGACCCAACAGATAGCAAACATGTAAGAAACAATTGCTTTCATTCTTATTACTATGCTAATATGCCTCAGCTTTTGTGAGGAGTACAGAATTGTTACTGCTTCCATTATAAATTTATGCTGTTAGTTGGAATCTTCTTGTATTTTTGGAAAACTGGTGAGAAGGGATGGAGATGTACTAGTGAGGTATAAGCACTTGCCTTGCATACGAGCAACCCCAGCTCAATACCTGACACCACATATGGTCCACTGAACACCACCAGGAGTGATCACATGAGCCCAGAGATAAGAGTAATATCCTTACACCCCACCCTACCCACCAAAAATATCTAGTGAAAATAAGAACAAGACAAATTTTTATCATCTGTTAAAATGGTATTGCTCTTACTATTTATAATATACGCTCTTTTTATCAAAGGTCTTCGAAATATCACATCAACAAAGTATAAATCACTTCATCACATATTCCAACACTTTCAAGAACTTACAAAATCTGCAGTTTCTGCACTCAAATTTCACAAAGATCTTGCTAATGCAGATTGGAATATTGTTGAGAGTGCAATTAAACTGCCAAATCCATACATGGTAAGCAAGTAGTATCTTTTGCTTAGTGCTTTAAAGTAAATTTGATTGCCCTTAAATAAGTATAAATGTTATAAAGGTGAATTCACAATCCTATTACATGCAATTAAGAGGTTATATTGGTAACTATTTAAACTATTTACTGTGACAGGAAAAGACCTTAAGAAATTTTGTGAACACTGTGAGCAAAATAAATAACTCTTTTGTGTATAGAGAAAGTATATTTGGGGCCCTGAGAGATAGTTCAAAAGGATGTGCATGTGTTTTGCATGCAGGGAGGCCTGGACTGAATCCTTGCAATGCATGATTTCTTGTTGCAAGGTACCAAGGTTTTCAACTAGTTCCCAGCAACTCTCAAACACTGTGGTCTTTTGCCTAACTGCTGCATTAGTATCGTCTGGAAAAATGGGTTTAAAATACGGATTGATTCCCAGTCACTTCCCAGGAGATTTTGATGCAGGTGGACTGAGGGTGACATGAATACATTTTTTTTAAAATCCATTACCCCGGCTAGTTCCAGTGCAAAATCAAGGTTGAGGCCACAACCCTAACTTGATCTTTTTTATAAGGCACGTGATCAAGTACTACCTTCTCTTCTTTATGACAGAAACAGGAACGTACTATATTGTTACACATAGAGCGGTGGCCTTGTATTTAAAAACATTCCGGATCATGGGCCAGGAGCTAATATAGCACCTAGTATGTGTCCAACCAGTTGATTCCCAGTCCTCCCCTGGTCCCCTGAGCAGAATGAGGCACAGCCCTGTAGGTGGAGGTCCACAGCACCGTTGTGCCAAGCACCAGTTCAATATCATACCTTTGCATTGAACTATGAGCCATCTTGGCTGGGAATCAGCAGTGGGCCCCCCTGAAACCTTCTTATCACTGCTTACAAGGCCCCTTCCCTACAAAATTAATCTGAGATTAGAACCAAGGGTATATAGCACAGGGATCAAAGGATTAGATTAGATTAGATTAGATTAGATTAGGGGCTTAGATTCCAAACTTGAAAACTTACATATAAAATGAAAATGTGCATTTTATTATGTTGTATTAAATGGATTTAGTTTTCTTATTTACAGATCAAAATCATATAGTAATTGCAAATTGTTTCTTGATTTATTTTCTAATCATTGTATTAGCCATTTCTAAAATTTTGTTGGCATAAGCAATATAAAGTAAATTTATTATTATCTAAGGGGGCAGGTTGGGATTGGGAGGGTAACTGATATATTAGTGGAAGGAAGGTCACACCTGTGGCATTGGAACACTAAATGTTTGAAATGACTGTATAATGAACGACTTCGTAAATTACGGTGTGTTTAATTTAAATGAATTTTTTAAAAAAATTTAAAGAAAAATCTATTTTCTTTAAACCAGCTTTCCTTATCTATAAAATTAGGTTGCCTATATTAAAAAATCTAACACCATATTTACCTTACTACAGTTTATCCGAAAATGGTTAAGACTAGACAACAAGCTTTAACTGCAGCAGAATCATGATATGGCTAGTAAAAATACAGATTGATCATACAAACAACAGAATTTTTAATCCATATAATTTGGGGTGGGGGGGATACTGTGCATTGTTAGAAATTCTGGGTCCTGCTGCTGCTGCTGCTACTGCTAGCATCCCAGACTTTCAGAGTCATGTAAAGCAAAATCATAGTATAACCCCTTTCCACTTAAACTGGCAATTATTTTAGCTTTCACCTATATAGCTGAACAAATTATGAGAAAATTCATTGAATATTTTGATATATTGTATATTTTCTATAGTTTTTGAATCAAAATAGTATATAAATGACTTAAAGTTTCTCCTGGGCAATATTTTATTTTTCATGTACCTTCTGTGTTTTTGCTTTGTTGTTGTTGTTTTTGTGTTACTTAGCTTAACCAAGAAGAATCAGGAGAAAGTCAAAAGATTAGATGTTCAAAATGTAATAAGGAAATAGATCAAAATTTGGACATTGAAGAAATGAAACTGGCCAACAAGCGTCTACTGTCAACACAAATAGTACCATTTTATACCTTTTCATTTTGTAAAGTTGAAATAGCGTTGGTTTACAACATTTAACAATTTGGATGTTTGGGAAGGGTTGTTTGTTTTTGTTTTGAGGGTCACACATGGCAATGTTCAAGGAAACTTGTGATTCCAGAAATCAAACCAAGATCAGCCGCAAATATCAGGGGCTTTAATCCCTGTAGTATCTCTCTGACCCTGTAATACTAAGCTTTATGGTACCATTTCACCCTCTTTCTAGTGTATTCTTGCATAATACCCTTACCAAAAGACCAAAATCACCCATCACCAACCCTGCAATACCCTTGATACCTTTCCCTCTATCCCTCGGATCATCTCTTCTCAGGTCAGAATGCAAGGGTTTTGTGTGATTTGGTTTGTTCCCTTATTTTATTTCATTTCCCACATGTGAGTGAGATCATCCAGTATTTGTCTTCCTTCTGACTTATTTTGCATGGCATAATCCTTTTCAATTCTATCTATGTTGATGCAAATGGCAAGATTTCATTTTTTCCTATAGCTGAGCAGTATTCCACTGTGAGATAACACATCCAGTCATCCATCATTAGATACTTATGTTCTTTTCATTTCTTGGTTATTTTATTTTTTTAATTAAGATTTGATTAGAAGCACCATGTTTTACAACATTGTCCATTATACGGCTGTTTCAAGCAGTTAGTGTTCCAGCACTATTGTGCTTCCCCTCCTCCAATATCCCCAGTTTCTCTCCAATCCCAACCTAACAAATTTAATTTATATTACTTAGTCCCAGAAACTTTAAGAAATGGCATACAGAAAATAAATCAGTAAGAGCCAATTTGTGGTTACTGTATGATTTTGACACCTATGTCAAGAAAGAAAAGTAAAACCATTTAATGCAATGTAATAAAATGCATTAAATGCTCATTCTCATTCACATATATAAGTATTCAACTTGAATCTAAAGTATAGCACTGCAGCACTGTTGTCTCGTTGTTCATCGATTTGCTCGAGCAGGCACCAGTAACGTCTCCATTGTGAAACTTGTTGTTACTGTTTTTGGCATATAGAATATGCCACGGGTAGCTTACCAGGCTCTGCTGTGCAGGCGGGATACTCTTGGTAGCTTGCCAGGCTCTCGGAGAGGGGCGGAGGAATCAAACCCAGGCCGGCCGCATGCAAGGCAAATGCCCTACCTGCTGTGCTATGGCTCCAGTCTGTGAATCTAAAGTATATTACATTAAATTTTATTTTATACTTGGATCTCATCATAGTGATAACCATGTCTCACCTGTCATCAATAAAACTTTTAAAGAATGTTAATATATTGTGGAGTTTACATGAAACAGGTAAAGCCTACATATGTAAATTTCTCCTCTACACTTTATATGAACATTGTGGTTTTCAAAGTTCATGATAATTCGTTACAGGCAATCAATATTCCAACACTGATCCTACTACCATTATACCTTCCCTCTACCTTTGTCTCCAATTTTCCCAACCACCCCTTAAGTCTGTCCACATAGTAGGCCCTAAATAATTTATTTTATATTGCTTATTATCAATAATTTGCTAACAGAATAATTAAAATATGTTTTTAGAAGAAAATTAGCGAAAATTGTTATCTCACCATGGAGATATTAAGTCCTTGTATGACATATTACTAAGATGTTACAGGTTACACTTTCTTTGTTTATGTTTTGTTAATCAAGATTGGCTGCCTTCTACCTTACATCCCCTTCAATCTGGTGTGCTATTACTGGTTTATCAGTGTTGTAGAGTTTGAGATGTTGTGTGGCCATGAATGAGGCTGCACACTCCAGGAGCTATGTAACTTTTAACAGGGTGGCACAGCTGGAGTTAATTTTTTTTATCAAATCATTGTGAGATACAGTTACAAGTTTTCATGTTTGAATTACAATCATACAATGTTCAAACACCCATCCCTCTACCAGTGCACATTCCCCACCACCAATCTCCCCAGTGTACCCCTCCTTTCTCACCCTCCCCCTGCCTCCCTGGCACACAATTTCCCCCATGCTCTCTCTCTCTACTTTGGGGCATTATGGTTTGCAATACAGATACTGAGAGGTTATCACTTTTGGTCCTTTATCTACATTCAGCACACATCTCCCATTCCGACTGATCCCTCCAACTATTATTTTCTTAGTGATCCCTTCTCTATTCCAGCTGCCTTCTTCCCACTCTCCTGAGGCAGCCTTCCAACCATGGAGCAATCTTCCTGGTCCTTGTGTCTACTGTCCTTGGGTGTCAGTCTCATGTTACGTTATTTTATATGGAGTTAAATTTTTAACTGGGTGGGAGCTTTGGGGTGTAGATGTGACTGTCAGAACTTCTAGAAGTACACGGAGTGGTAGAAGGTAATTCATTCTGACTCCAAGAAAACCTGGAGATTTCAGTAACAAAACCAATGTACCTGAATTTTCAGCAGGTTAATTTCTCAGTCATTCCTAAAACAATGGAATCTGACCATGGTCACTGTGGCAATTTTGGAGTGTGATAGTAAGCCACTGCTGGAGCTCTGTTTGGGTAGGCACTGAGTGACATGCCACCTCCTGGGTGTTCTGAATGTCTCAGTCATGCACAGTCCAAAAAAAATTTCTCTCTTGGTTATTTTAAATAGTCGCACTGTAGCACTGTCTTCTCGTTGTTCATCGATTTGCTCGAACAGGCCCAGTAGCGTCTCCATTATGAGATTTATTGTTACTGTGTTTGGCATATTGAATATGTCACAGGTAGCTTGCCAGACTTTTCCATGTGGGCAAGATACTTTCGGTAGCTTGCCAGGCTCTTCGAGAGGGGTGAAGGAATCAAACTCGGGTCGGCCGCATGTAAGACAAATGCCCTACCTGCTGTGTTATCACTCCAGACCATTTAAAATAGTACTAACTGAATATAAAAGTGTGTGTGTAGGGGATGGAGCAATAGCAAAGCAGATAGGGTGTTTGCCTTGCATGTGGCCGACCAGGGTTCGATTCCCAGCATCCCATATGGTCCCCTGAGCACTGCCAGGAGTAGCTCCTGAGCGCAAAGCTAGGAGTAACCCCTGAGCATCACGAGGTGAGACCCAAAAAAAAAAAAGGTGTGCATATACATATACACACATAGATATACATATATATAATATATATATATATTACTGTCACTGTCACTGTCCTCCTGTTGTTCATCAATTTGCTCGAGCAGGCCCAGTAACGTCTCCACTGTGACACTTGTTACTGTGTTTGGCATATCGAATACATCACTGGTAACTTGCCAGACTTTTGCCATGTAGACGAGATACTCTTGGTAGCTTGCCGGGCTCTCCAAGAGGGGCAGAAGAATTGAACTCGGGTCGGCCATGTTGGCTGCTTGCAAGGAAAACACCCTACCCGCTGTGCTATCGCTCCAGCCCATATATATATATATATATAGTGCCACCCACAAGACAGAGCCTGGTAAGCTATCCGTGGCATATTCAATATGCCAAAACCAGTAAATACAATGGGTCTCATTCCCCTGACCTTTAAATAGCCATCAATACGGCAGCATTAAGACAGATGAGGAAGGAGAGGCTGATAAAATCTCAAGGCCGAACTAAGCTGCCAAAACAAAGAAGGACAAAAATCAAAAATGACGGTCTGTACTTTCAATGCACGCTGGCATCAGATGCATCCATCAAAGACCTAATGTTAAAAGCACGAAAAATCAAGTATGACATCATTGGTCTGACTGAGACAAGAAGGCATCAATCAAATCATGCCATTTTCAACACTAGAGAAGAACTGTTCCTCAGAACATGCAAGAAAAGAGTCGTCGGTGGTGTCTGTGTCCCTGTCAACACGAACTTGGCCATGAGCATTGATTCATTCGAATGCCTAACAACCCAAATCTGACAGTTACACTTGAATAGATGTGGCTCGTTGCTGGCAGTTTCTATCTTCATTGTCTTCATTGTCTTCAACATTCAATTATGATGATGAAGAAATTGAGGAGTTCTACATGGAGCTGGAGAAGTTCTACAAAGTAGATAACACCTACTACAAGATCATTGTCAGTGATTTTAATACCAAGATAGGACTGAGAAGATCAGCCAAGGAACTCCACATAAGGACCCATGGCCTAGAATGGAACGAACAGGGTGAGAGACTATCTGAGTTCATCATGTCGACCAAGACCATCCATGATAACTCACAGTTCTAGAAGGCCGAATCTAAACATTGGCCATGGGAGTTTCCCAGTGGATGGTTCCACAATGAAATTGACCACATCATATTCAATCGAAGGTTTTGCCTGACCGATGTTGCTTTTTTCCCCAAAATTCCAGGCGAGATAGGACCACCGTCTCCTTCATGCAAAATTCTACTTCACGGAGTGGGGAGAAAGGGCTGCAAAGTTTAAGAAGAGAACTCCTAGAAAGACCACCAACTGGGAGCTCTTTGACACTATTATGGCAACATGGGAAGATGCTGTCCTTGACAAGAATATAGTTGAAGTGATTTCTGCACTTCTTTGTTCACTGCAGCACTCTTTACAAATAGCCAGAATCTGGAAAAAACCTGAGTGCCCGAGGACAGATGACTGGTTAAAGAAACTTTGATACATTTACACAATGGAGTACTATGTAGCTGTTAGAAAAGATGAAGTCATGAAATTTACATACAAGTGGTACTACATGGAAAGTATCATTTTAAACAAAATGACTCAGAAAGAGTGGGATAGACACAGAAAGATTGCATTCATCTGGGGAACATAAAGTAACAAAATAGGAGACTAACACGCAGGAGTGGCCCAGATTAGTACCAGGAATTTTTCTCCATGATTTGGAGGCCAGCCACACGTGCTGGGGGAAAGGGAAGCTCAGATAGAGAAAGGAGCACCAAATAAAGGGTGTTGGGAGGATCCTCCCAGGATGAGAGTAGCATGCTGAAAGTAGACTATATACCAAACATGATTGCCACTCAATGCCTTTCTTGCAGACCACAGAACCCAAAAGGAGAGAGAGAGAACAAAAG